AGAAAGTGAAAAAGCAATACATTCCTTGATGCATTTGCATAAAGGTTGTTCACCTTTGTTTGGATAGTTGTCCATTTGAGGCATGGACAAATGAAGGACTTCGGTTATTTTGGACACTTAAGTAATGTTTGGTGTCTGTTTCTTAGGAGTGTTTGGGGGAAGGAAGATAATTTTAGCTATTTATTTGTAATATTTTAACCCTTTATCTGTTTTTATACAGTATTTCTTTCTAACTCTGTGAGGTTCAGGGTCAAAACGATGGGAGGGAAAAGAGCAATGCTTATTCAGTTGTAGGGAGCTTGTAGCTTGTGCTGGTATTATAGCATCAAGCCCAAGCAAATTAGAGCCCACCTTTCACTTTAAGGAGAAAAACCAAAATGGTATTTTTTTTGAGGTTTCTCATGGCATTCAAACATCATAGGAATATTAGGAGTTACCTCCTTATGGAGGTAATTGATTAATAGTCTCTTTATAAAAAAAGCTGGGCTGGCTTTTTGGGATGTAAACATGTTTTCAGATGCAGTAAGGTTTAACGTGGGACAGCCTCCCTGACCCAGAGTGGCATGAAAACCATTGCAGAATTAATAGTTCTCCTGTTTCCACAATGTGCCAAAAAGTCCACACCCCAGCATTTTGTTTATAGGAGAACTGATGCCATTCCTGAGAGCTGGGCTCCTTTCTCTTCACAAGGAGGAGTCCAGACTTCAATCATTCATGCTCCCTTAGATAAAACAGTAAAAAAAATTGCAGCCATAGTTCACTTAGTTTCAAGCTCACTTGAAGTAAGAGGGACCTGGAATGCTTGGTGGGCATGAAAATAAACCCTTGCTACTGTGTAGCAACACAATTGGACCTTTTTGGAGGAATAGGTCTGAGTCTGGATTCTGGGGGACATCAATAAGAAGCCCTTCTCATAAATGTAAAAATCCAGGAGACCATTTGAGTGCACCACAAGTTCTCAGTATTTGGAGGGTCCTCTCAAAATTCTGCGGCCTTACTTTGATTTTGACACCTGCACTGTGCCATTCCTGATGATTCCATTCAGGATCTGTATCAGCAGGACGGGGCAGTCCCCAGCACAACTCTTCTGGATTAAAACAAAAAACAACAGGAAAAGCCAGGTCATCAATTTGTGTATGTTTGTGATAAATGGAGTGACTTCATCAGATACTGAAGAGTTCTGTATTCAGCTCTTTCTGCAGGTTGGAGTTAGCATAGAGTTGGAAAATCAGCTTTGGCCTTCTTCCTGACTGTCTCTGATTTCCTCTAGTGTTTTCCCTTTTCTGGTCATCAGCTCTCAACAACTCTGCCACTTTTGTGTCCCAAGGTAATAAGAAGTAGGAAACGAAACATTGCAAAGTGGAGCAAGAAAAGTTATCGGTTACCGTATCAGAGTCAAATGTCTTGGGTGACACTAAGAAGGACATGGGCAAGGTGATACCAGAGTGCTTTATCTTGTGATGCTGATACAGTAGCAGCCTCTCAGACATACAACCAGGTTGGATTTCTCACAAGTTTCTCACCTAGTTTTGAATCCTATCCCATTGGTTTCTGCAGGAAAAAAAAAAAAAAAAAATTACATGCTTTAAGTTTGTTCTGGGTGGGGAAAGTCTTATGGGGAATGTACTGCATAGTATTGGGCTCAGCTCCCCCAAGCAGAGCCAACAAATACCAAAATGAGTAAACTGGGAAGCTTTTTCTCTCTTTCTGTCTTCATCCCAGATCAAAGGATCCCGAGTTAGGATCTGGATGAAGGATAAGCCCCTGAATTGTCGATGGGCACACCCCACACACTGACCCAGCATCTGAACTTGCTTAACAGGGAGCCGGGGCTAAACTGCTTCACCCTGCCTGAGAACCAGGGAGCACTGCATTTCTCCACAGGGTGGAGGAGAAGAGGCAGAATAAACCAAGCCTGGGACACCTCCCTCCTGTCTAGGTGTGCTCATTCTCCTGTTTCAAAAGACGGCAAGGATATGAAGTCAACTTCTACCTGTCTTCTGCTGCTGGCGTCTTATGTATTCTTTGACCTGATTCCTCTTCTGTCTTTTGGCACATGTTAGGGGTCCTTGGTTAAAACCTGCTCTGATGTACATGAACATTACAGGTTCAAAATCAATGTGTTTTAAAACAAGTATTTTTGGGGTGGGGGTTGGGGGAATGAAGCAGGATATAATTGCCAAAACTAGGCTTCAGGTTGGTGGCTCTTGGAAAGATTTTCCTTAAGGCCTAGGTCTAAAAATTTAGTGCAGCAATATCATGAGTTCTTAGAAAGAAAACCTTTCAGGGAGTCTGTGAGTCCCACAGTATTCAGTCACGTTACTTCAAGCAGATTTCAGTATAGGAAACTCATTATTCACAGTCCCTGGGCAATCTCATTTTTTTTTTTTTTTAGTCCCCCCCCCCCTTCAATCCTCCTCCCTTATTTCTATCTTTAATTTTTTGAGGGGTAGGAAGTACTTAACATCTCAGAAACTAGGTTGGGAAACATGCTCAGTGGTAAAAGCTGGGCTTTAAATTTTGAGTTTTAAAGAAATGTACATCAGGAGCAGCCGGGGAGGGTCTTTTCTAAATCTTTCAAATTTGATTTTCTGTGTGTATGGCCATTCTGTAAATACTTTGGGGTTTTTCATTTTTTTGAAAGGACAAAATCTGTGGGATTTTTTTCCCCTGAAACATTACAAAAGATTCTGATTATTTACATGCAAATAAATTTCTTTGATAAAAAGTAGTATGCCTATGTGTTACAAGTTTTTAACCTTTGGACAATTTTCATTTATTCAGCTTTTTAAAAGTGATCAACTAAACTTTTATCAAAAAATAAAAGTCTCACCTTGGCTGGTGTGGCTCAGTGGATTGAGTGTGGGCCTGCAAACTGAAGGGTTGCAGTTTGACTCCTGGTCAGGGCACATGCCTGAATTGTGAGGCATTGGGTTGCATGGCTGCTGCAAGCGTGCAGGAGGCAGCCAATCAATGTTTCTCTCCTCTTTCCCTCCCTCTAAAAGTAAAATTGCCCTGTCTGGTGTGGCTCAATGGATTGAGTGCCAGCCTGCGAACCAAAGGGTTGCCAGTTCAATTCCGAGTCAGGGCACATGCTGGGGTTGTGGGCCAGGTCCCCAGTGGGGGTGCATGAGAGGCAACCACACATTGATGTTTCTCTCCCTCTAAAAATAAGTAAACAAAAACCTAATAAATAAAACTTACAAAGTAAAAATCTTCCTCCAGTAAGTACTACTTGAAACAGGTTAACTGGAAAAGATAATTGAAATAGGGAAACAGACCTGTAAGTTTCATTTGATTTATCTACTCAAGCCAGTTTTACTATTTTCTGCATGCCTTAGTCATCAAATTCATCAGTAGTTCTTGCTGGGGAGAAAACTGCTCTTAAATTAGCCATAACTCAAAGGCTGTTTTTATATGGCTGAAGTGAAGCAATAACATTAAAAAAGTATCTGTAAAGGGAGAGTATCTAGACCTTGGTTTGTGGTCATGAGGAATGAGTCTCTGAAGCTTAGGTTTCTTGCTTAGGAAAGGAAGTCCTTACAAAGATAATGGGGGGAAAAAAAAAAGCTTGAAGGGTTGGGTAATAAGCCTTAAAGCTAAAATGTGCCAATTCGTAAAGCTCTCCAGCACTGTTCTTAAACTCGCAATGAGATCCGTAACAAGACAGTCATTAAAACTCTGAATTAAGAGATATGAAAAATAATTAAAAAAAAAAAGAGTTGTGAAGACAAACGTTTGTCTCCTTTGGAGTTAGGAATAGTGGTGCTGCCAAAACTACTGGAATTTATAATAGTTTCTAATATTTTATCTTTGGGACATGACTCTGTAGTTTGTCGCTGTTTTAAGGGTAAACTCATTTCTTAATTCATGGAAATTCGATCATAAATTTCGAGACCTTGACTGGAGTTGGTAAAGTACAGGTGATGACACAACCTGAGTCAGGTAAATGTCATCGTTTCCTCCTGGCCGGCGCCCCCGCCTACTCGTCCAGACACGCTTGTTTCTCCCGCCGAAGTGGCGTCAGGATCAGGTTCTCATCAACCAGAGCCCTGATTGGAGGACGGGCAGGCGGTAGAGCCCATTGGGCGCCAGAGGCGGTTGGGTGGACGAGAGGCGGGGGAAGCCAAAGGCCTTTCATTCTTGCCCGCCCCCACTTCCACCAAAGCGCGCCCCCCACCCCCAGCTAAAGGAATAGTCGCTCAGCTCTAGGACAGCACCCCCCTGACCCTAAGACGCGAGGTGCGGCCTCACTGCATATCCCCGGAGCAGTGGGCAACGCAGTTATCTCCCTGCTCTCCTGATCCATGCACAGGGAGACCCACGCCCCGCATCAGCCGTCCAGGCCTCCCTGCAACACCGGGTAATGCAATCCACGGGGGCGGGAGAGGCGGCGGCAGCTGTAGCAACGGCGGCGGCGGCGGCAGCAACAGCAGCACTGCCCCAATCTAGAGACAACCAGAAAGAGGAAAATGGCTCCGAGCAGGGACCGCCTGCTGCACTTTGGGTTCAAGGCGACAGTGAGTGATAGGGGAACGGAGCTGGGTGGCCGGGAAGGACGTTTGTGACAGCACAGGCTATCGGGGAAGGAGCGGCAAGACTTAGGGGGCTGGGGAGACTAGACAGAAAGCTCAAGTGTTTGGTGGTTGATGCGTGCTCCATGCCCGCGAAGGAGAGGAGAACAGGGGGCTCCAGTGCTGCGTGCAGTTTTCCTCCTTTGCTCTCCCGGGTCCGCGAGCACGCGCGCACTAGCACCCGCCCCACAGCCCCTCCCATACACAAATACACACAGACAGATAGGCACTTCCCTGCCTCCAGTTCGCGGTGGGCCTGCCTGCCTGGGAGCCGAGAGCCGGTTTACGCTGCCGCCGCACTCCGGCTGCTCCCAGGCTGACTGTCGTCTGCTGCACCCGGGAGTGGGGGAGGGGCGGCCCCGCGCCGCCGCGCGCTCCTCCTCCTCCCCCTCCCCACGCCGTTCTGAGGCCGGGCGGCTCTGCCCAATGAGAAGCGGCGTTGCTGGCAGGTGGGGAGTGTTTTTGTTTTGGGTTGAAGTTGAGGCTGAGGAGAGACGAGAGCTTGCGACGAGCAGTCGTCGCCCCTGCCGGCGCGGTGGTAGGTGGAGGAGGCCTAGCCGCAGTTGGGAGGTCTCTCCTCCCCCTCCGTTGTCCCTGCCCGCCCCTCCTCTGTCTCCTCCGAGTCCCGGAACTCCTGGGCCTGCCCGGGGCCCCTCGGCTTTGCACTCCGCTCGCCGCAGCGCCTGGCCCCGGCCGCACCCGCCGGCCCCATGAGGAGGGACGTGAACGGAGTGACCAAGAGCAGGTTTGAGGTGTGAGCTTGGGGCGGGGCGGGGGGACTAGGGCAGCATGAGGAAGGCGATTCCCACTCTCGTGTCCCCCAGATTCTCTCCGCACGGAGCCTCCTACCTAGCTTAGCGCCGTCACGCACCGGCCGCTGGGGCTGCCTGACTTTTTTTCCCCATCCTCGCGACCCGAAACCCTGGTGCAGCCCTGCTTCTCTCGTCCTCACGGCTGGTCGCCTCGTGTCTCTTCCACTCGCGGGCCCCGGCGGGGGATTAGCTCTGGCGCCCTAATTCTCCCCTCCCCCCAGTATCACTCGGCTTTCCATTCTTTACACAACCCTTGGCTTGCCTCCTTCCACCCGGCAGAAAAAGCATCACAACTCCGATCGACCGGAGCCAGCTTTTCTTTCTCCCAGCTCCTTCGTGAATCGGGAGGGCAAATTATGGGTCAGGGGGGCCATTTGTCCGAGTTTGAGAGACGTTGGTTAAACTAGGGAAGTGGAGGTGGTAGGCCGGGATGAGAGAAACGACCACGGGTTTTCGGTGCTGAGTTTGGTTGGGTATTGTTCTGATACTTCCTCTTCTTTCCCGTCTGTACTTTTGTAGCTCATTGTTTCTGGAAACTCTTAAAATGTGTACAGACTTTGAGATTGGAACGAAGGTCTGAGAGACTTCAGAAAATTCATTCAAATCTGTAAGAACTTTTCTGACGAGAGAGGTTTATAGTCATGAAATTGAGAAATGGATGAAGAAATAAGGAAACATTTGAAGGAGTCTTTAGAGAGCAGTCACCGTGTAGGGAAATGATTCCTTTGGGAAATGGAGTAACTACAGATGAATTACAGTGGTAGAGTAATTTTCAAGAAGGTTTATCAAGGGGATTGAGAGAAAGAAACTCCTACAAGAAGAAGAGAAAACGTTACCTGGCCTTTTCTGGCAGAGAATCAGGCTGACCTGGGATCACTCACAGCTCAGTGTACATCTCACTTGGTGTTTTTCTTCATTTCCATTTGAAGGATGAAATTGTAAGACGGTGAGACAGAAGTTTCAGGAAACTTGCCAACTAGGTACACAGGATGAAATTTTTATGTCAAGGTGTCTTCTGTTTAGTCTATTGCTTGATTTCTTTTTATACTTATGGGAAAAATAATTTATCCACAAATATCAAGATAGGAAGTGTTCGGGGGCAGTTTAAATTCAGATCTACAATATTCTTGTTGCAGGCGAGGAGTGGAGAACAATTAAGGAGTTGGTCTCTGTAGAGTTTTCATACTTAAACAAAGGTCTTCCTTTAGTGGATAGCATTATAGTGGATATGATTTGGTTTTTATTGGGTTGGCCAAAAAGTCTGTTACGTTTTTCCCATGAAATAAAAGACATATATTTCATTTTCACCAATAACTTTATTGATTTGGGTATTTTGAGTATATCAGCTATCTCCCGCTATTGGCTTCTAGTGGGAAAAAGCTAAGGGGTGATACTAAACATCTTCCAGTGCATAAGACAGCTCCTCAGCAAAGAATTAATTTGGCCAAAATGTTAATAGTACCAAGAAACTTCGCAAACCACTGTTGACGTGTTTGGTCAGTCACAGCACCTTCTTCATACAATGCACAAAAATCTTTTTTGTGTGTGTTTTAGCTGCACTTTTACCATTCTTGAAACTATTAATAAAGCATAATAAACCAACAATGTTGCTTATCTTCTTCCATCTTCAATATTAAAATGGCTGCACAAAAATTCACCAATTTTGATAAGTTTTTTAAAAATGTGTGCTAATATGACAGCTGTCACAATACACTAACAAAATTGTTTCAAAAGACGTTAAAGACAACTAAGTACTACTAGTGCCATCGTCTAGAACTTAGCGGAGTTTTTGGCCAATCCAATACTTTAATAGAACTTTATGTTGCCCTAATGTAGAGAAACCCAATAAACAATTTTTGGTGTTTTCATATTCAGTACTGCTGTAAAAGTTGGGACTGTCATTAAAATTACTGAACAGACATTTAGCATTAACAGGAACCTTGAAAGCACTCAAATCCTGAAGATTTTAGTGGGGGTTAGCCTTTTGCCATTGCAATCAGCTCTTTATCATTTTGCTGTTCACTTTTAGGTTGTATGAATAACTGTTGGAAAGAGTTTTTTTGTAGTATATGATTTAAAATTAAATTACTATATAATATTTTTATAATTTACATTTTAATTTGTGGTTTATCTGTAGTATTAAAAAATAAGAAAATTTATTGCTTTATTAAGCATCTCTATTTACCTTGATTGGTATATAACTGGCAATTAAAGCTTTCTAAATGTTTCTGAGAAGATAAAAAAAAGAATAAAAGGGGAAAAAAAAAGTCCTCCTTATATAGTTCATGATCAGAGTGTTTATTTCTAAACAAAAGGCTACTCTTTTATTATGTGAAGTGTTCCATGCCAGAATACAAATGAGAAGGGCTGGAAATGATATGTGTTAATGAGCTTCATTATCTGAGTATTTTTAAAAATCATTTACTTTTATCTTTTTTAAATTATTGATTTTAGATAGGAAGGAAGAGAGAGAAAGAAACATCGATTTGTTGTTCCATTTGTTTATGCATTTATTGGTTGGTGCTTGTATGCACCCTGACGGGAGATGGAACCCATAACCGTGGTGTTTTAGGACAGTGCTCCAAGCAACTGGGCTACCTGATCAGAGCAAAATCGTTTACTCCTTTACTGTCCTAATTTACAAGTAGTAAAGCAATAAACTGTTTGATCTTTTATGAAATAATAAACTTATTGCTAATTCATTGAAAATGTTTTCCATATTTTCAATGGATTGAGGATGTAGATAACAACGGAGGCTTTTCATATCTAAGATATTTACATCAAATTTTTAAAAAATTCTCAAAATATTCATAATGCATTTTATTTTTTCAGAATGCTTTTAAAAGGACTGATCATTTTATCATTGTAAGTAGATATCTGATCTCAGAATTTTTGTGAGTGCAGGGAATTTTTATAGAAAATAATAACTGATTTCAAATTAGTTATGGTTAACACAGAAAGTGAAACATTGTTTTCTTTTTCTTGGCCACATTTTCTTTTCTGGTAGAAAGAGCATAACCAAAACTTGTCTTTTTACAGGGAGTACCTTGTATATTATGCTCTAGGATGTTGTAACTGGAGACCACACACTTTAAATCTCACACTCAGGGGTAGTGCTATAGGGAAAAAAAAAAATTAAGTTAGAAACCAAGGGAGAAGAGTATCAGTTAGCCAGATATGTAGCATCTTGTAAATAAATAGCCAAAGTAGATGACTCTTGGATAAGAGAGTGAAAAAGATACAGAGATGTGAAAATTGTTGTTTGTTGCTGTATCTCTTTGGCACTAAATCTGTATAGTAATAACCCTTAAAAGTTAACATAATGTGTGCCCAGTTGTTTTAGTCTCTTGATTGAAATTCATCATTCAAATATTTTTTATTATTTATAGTAAACTTACTTTTGTGGCAAATTTTGATAATTCAAATTTAATAACAGTTATATATCTAGGCACTGAGCTAGGTATTTTATCTCAGTTACTTCTAATTTTCACAATTCCAATTTACATTTGAGAAAAGTTAGGGTCTGAGAAATGTTCAAGTTGGACAGTCAGTAAATAGGAAAACAAAGATTCCAATCTGCTTTTTTTGACTCCACTCTCTCATTCTCTGTTTTTAGCATGTGTGACATAAAAGCCCATAAAATGTGTGGAGAAGTACTTCCTCGAGTTCTTCATCTAGTATATTTTATTTTGCGTTTGCTATCAAGAGAGTGAAGCTACTCTTCATCTTAAGTTCTGTAACCAGTGTTACCTTAACACTCACTGAGATTAGTGACAGATGTGTAAATTTAGATTTTTTTTTTCAGTTAAACCTCTACTTTGTCATGCTCTTAGTAGCTCCATTATGAGAACAAAGTACTATTGGAGGAAAAATTCTACCTTATTTGAGTTTATTAAAAAAGTTATACTGATAACATTAACTGATATTCACATGCTGTTTTACAATCTAAATCAGTAGCTGGAGTATTAAGACTCAGGAAGTGATAAGCTCCAATTTGGGTATCTTTGAAGTATTGTTCATTATTGTTTTCTATTATACCTTACTGCTGCTCTGATAAATCTATAATATTACAGCCTGCTTCATTTTATAATTCAATTTGTTCAAAGTAAGAAAAATCATAAGATGTGGAATGGCGGAAAGAATATAGTACATTGGGACTTAAGGGAACTAGCTATTAGTCTTGATTTTTGCCACCAACTAACTATAACTTGGGTCATTTCTTTTCATTTTTCCGGGTTGATTATTTCTCTCTGTTGCAAAACAAGGAGTTAGAATCAATTATTAAGATTCCCTTTGTTTCAGAATCCTATAAATCTGTAATTTTTGAATGAAAGCAGAGGCCAATATTTCTTTGGTCTTTTCTTCTGAAACAGCCACTCTGATACTTGGTTAAAATTTGTAGGCTCAGTTGCACAGTACTATTAAGGCTTCAATAATGACCTCCCTCCCACCCCCGTTAAGGTTTTATCTTCTAATGTAAAGAACATTTTGCATAATAAATAACTATATTTTCCAACTCGTGCAGGTGGAAAATGTTATGTATTTTTCTAATGGGTGAGAGTTATTTGTTTCACTCTATTTGAAAAGCCTAGCAATGAGAAAGAATACTGGTAATACTAGGGTCTTTTGTTTTTAACACTTTAGAGATCGGTCTGAAAGCAATATAATAGAGAAAATCCAAATTAGAGATCTATGCTTTAGGCACATTCAGACAATCTGCCCTTTTTGGAATAAGGCAGGTGTTTATTGTATAATCATGGACGTTTTTTGAAGCATGACACATTATATCATGTACTTAATGGTAGTCCTTCATTATTTAAAGATTACCATGTTTGTACCTTTCCAGTCTTTATAGAGATAAACCATTATATATTGAAAATTATCATGTTTTCTGTTAAGTTGTTAAAAATTTTTAGTGTGGCAAAAACTTTACAAAAAAG